TTCTAAAAGGTTCTCTATTTCTGTTCTGTGTACTAGTGAAGAACATTTCTGCATTTTTAAAAAGATTTAGTATCATAAACAGTTAAAATTCAATATATATTACAAGCACAGATAACCACATTATAAACTTTTGTATGATATGAAACTTTTATATTTTATAGCAAAGATATAATTCTTGGTGTATTTATCAGAATAATAGCTGTTATTGAATAATAACTATCTTTTACATTAATATCACTCATCTTAAAAATAAATATTTTTTATTTTTCAATTATTTAGAGCCAACAAACAAAATTTTATGTAATTTTATAACATTATCTTCTAATGACAGACACCAAATACAAGCCTAATTGATTAATCTAGCCAGCAGTTTTCGTTCAGTTTGAGGTAATATGGTACGTACTTCCTTTGGGAAGGAATCATACTTGAGCATAAGGCATGTTTTCAGGCACTTTAGTAACTATTATAATATTAGAAACACGCCTTATTCCTAAGTGCATAGCGCTCAAGTATGATTCCTTCCTAAAGGAAGTACGTACCATATTACCTCAAACTGAACAAAAACTGCTGGCTAAATTAATAAAAAGCAAACGTAAAGCAATAGCAGATAAAGAAATGCAAGTGTATCTGACCCATATATGATTAATCTAAATGTAAATTATGCAAAAACAGTCATTTCACAGTGGTGCAAAATTATACAAATATATAGTGGTGCCAGACATATACAAATAGATTACTATGGCAAAAACATACAAATTTGTGATGCATAATGCTGTAGATAAGTAAATATTACATTTTTCTTAACTTAAATACAAAATTTAAGTTTCAGTTTAAACTTTGAGTGCATTTTTAACTACACCTTAAGGAAAAGTGCTAGCTGATTCTGAAAAAAGTCAAATTGTTGATTTACATTCAAATGGCAAACCAATAAGCAAAATATCTGCTGCCATTCAAAGTTCTAGAGATTCATTAGAAAATACAACAACAATCCTGATGATGGTCATAGTAAGAAACAAAGTGGAAGGCCTTCTTCATTCCAAGCCTCAACAAAAGAATGATTTGTCAAGCTCCTAGTAATACAAACATTACTGCAAACCAAATCCTGCTTCAAAATGGACCATTGAAAGTATGCTTCATTCACCTTCTCATCTAAAATATTCAACAAAAAAAATGCTCAACCTTGTCTGAAAGATCACCAAAGCAAGAGTTGAAAGACAAAGATGAGTTGGACAACTGAGTGACAAGAAATTGTTTTCAGTGATGAAAAAACAAACAACTTGAATGACCTGGCTGGATATCAACACTATTAGCACAACAGCCAAAAAGAAGAGCAAGTTTATTCTAAGCATGTCCAAGGCATTGGTCAATAATGACTTAGCAGCTTTGCAGTGGAAAGGAAAATCTGAAACTATCTCTATAAATCACATGAATATCTAAATTGGCATATCAAAAACTGCTAGCGAACAACTCCTTCCAATTAGAATATAAATAAATAAATATATAAATATGCAATTAATATTTGCACAACAAAACTAGTTAAAGTATACAAATAAAGTGAAATAGTTTAAAAATTTATGAGTA